TGTCACATGGAGAAAGGCATGCCTGCCCCTCCGAGCCGTGGGAGCTGGACGCCATGCATAGCTAAGTGCCTGGCACAGCCCCTGCCACGTGGCAGGAGCTTGGTAATGACAGTAATGCAATGCTTGTTGATGGGAAGCAGCTCGGCCAGCGTGGCCGTGCCACCCACAGGACTCTGCAGGATTCCCACTCAGTCGGAAGGACGGAAGGATGTGTCCTGTGCAGGTGGCCGTGGGCAGGGTGATTGGGGTGCCCCCCCCCGCCCCCGCAGCCTTCCGCCTGTCCCCAGGCTGGTGGAGGAACTCTGACACCGAGGCTTCTCTTCCTGAGGCCTGTTTCCTGCATGATTCCTCTCTCTGTGTCCTGCAAGCGATGCTTCCACGTGCTGGGAACCAGCACTGGAGCCGAGTCCGGGTTCCGACTTCTCGGTGACGTGTGCTGTAGCGGAACCAGCCGCGTTGCAGTTAGCCGTCTGGACGGGCAGGGACGACGGGCAGTCCAGGGGTTGAGAAGGTGGACGTGGGGCAGACATACTTGTCTAATCCCATCTTGTTAAGTTGCCTGCTCCTGGGCAGGCTGTATCCTCAGCTGCCAAATAAGAATCGTTGTGTCTGTGTTTCACTTAATCCTTTTGTGAGCATTTGGGAGCTGGGGGAGCTCCTCTCTTAGGGTAGGACCCCATCCTGCCTGCACTATGGTTATTCGTACCCTTACTTTACCTCCCCGGCTGAAAGAAGCGCTAAAAGCAGACAGCTCCCGGCTGGCCCCTGTGGGTGGGGTCTTGGGCCAGGCCCTCCGGGACTCGGACCTGCTTTACCTGCGCAGCCTGGCCTGTCCTGAGGATCCTGCCTGCATTTCTCACACGTGCACACAGGAGGGTCCCTCTACCTGGAACGCCCCCTCCCCAGACTTGCCTCCTCAGGGAGCAGTTAGCACGACTGCAGAATTTCCAGAACGTAAACATGCTTTTGCAAGTGCCCGGTAACTGTGGCAGCTGCCCACGGTCACGGCTGGGTGAGTGGATGGTGTTCTGAAAGAAACAGAAATCCCTCAGCGTGACGATGGCGGCCAGCACGGGTCCGGTCGCACGGACGTGTGCCTGGGCGGCCAGCTGTTTTCCCTCCCAGTTGCTGATGCGCACCCTCTGGCCCGCTGCTGAGGCCACCCCACGGCGTGGGAGGAAAGTGATTAGAGGAACTTCAGCTGCCTGGCTCCCTCTGAATGGCCCTTTCATCAGGACGTGCAGGGACAAGGGCCTTTTTCAACCCAAATATCAGGGGGAGACGAGAGTGCCACCAGAGCCATTTGCTCTCTGGGCGGGAGCATCGTCCGGGGCCGAGGACTCCTCGCCGAAGGACGCCAGCCTCTTCCTCACCTGCCTGCCTTGTCCTGGGGCGTGGGAGGCGGGGGCTCGGGGTCGCTAGACATGTGATCACCGCCGTCATGAAGCTTTTTTGTTTTACCGATTTCTGCGTCTCCCTTCAGCCACCTCCTTACTTCTGCTCTTCAGAGGTTTCCAGCCCAAATTAGTACGTACCCCCTGCTGGTCTCTGTTCTCCTGCCCCGGCTGGGTGATGGGATGAGGGCTGGGGTTTTCTCTCCGTCTTCAGTGCCTTGTAGAGACTTTAATCTCGCGGCCGCGGCTGAAGCGGCAGGAGCCAGTGTCTGAGAACATGTTTGTCCCGTGGAGATAACAGTGTTGGGGGTGGGGGTCGGGAGGGCAGGGGCTGGCTTTGTTGTTACTTCAAGATTTTCCTTACAGCGACGGAGGGAAACAGTTCAGTTTTGTTCATCTGGGTCTGACCTTCTGGAACTTGAGTTGCTCTTTTTAGGACGCCAGCATCTTTGAGGAGATGCAGCTTTTCTGAGCCGGGATGGGTGGCTGGTGGGTTTGTGCTGCCTGCCCCGAGTACCCAGGAAGGAGTGTGCCATGGCCAAAGTGGGTTTGTTACAGGGCCTCCTTCCCCAGAGGGGCGCCTGGAGACCCATGAATCGGGGTACGCTGCCTCTGGGTCTTAGAGGCCCGGCAGAGACCCCCCGACGGCGCCCTGGCGGTGGGAAACAGTGTTCGCAGCAGCCACGCAGAGGGCGCCTAGGCTCTGGGCCTGCAGTGAGCTCGGCACAGAAGGCGGGAAACAGGGTGGGAGAAACGTCTGTGTCTTGTTTTCCTGACCCTGTGACCGCCTGGCTGTGCGACCTCTTGGCCCCGAGAGTCATCTTGTGCGGCCATCCTCGTGCTGTGTCCTCTCGCCGTCTCCCAGGCGCGGGCGAGGGCGCAGGGCTGCTCGCAGCTTCCAGTCTCCTTCTCTCCAGTACACGCCTGCGACGAATGGCGGGAAGAGGACAGGGCCCCATACAGGCAGCTACCCCTACACCCCCCCCCACCACCACCCCCCCAGCCTCACGTGTGGATGGGAGGCCCTGGTTCTTTATCAGTCTCAGGGACCCCGAGGAACAACTGGCCTAGTCAGCGATCACAGGATAAAAACCAGCCTATTCTTTTGCATTGTTCCCCTTTTTTTCCAAAGGAAGTGTGAGGGAAACCAAGGGGAATTTTTGCCCGTGATTTCCAAGGCGAAGGTCACGGTTCATGGCTGGCTGTTTCCAGAGCGCTTGGGGTTTGGGTCAGTGCGGATTTTTGTTTTTCTGAGGTTGTTTTTGTGTTGTTGTTTTTAACCCATGAACAAAAGAGGCTGATGTTGCCTTGAGAAAAATTTTCCCCAGTTGCTGCGATGAACTGGTGACTGCGTTTCTTTCGTGGGTTTTGGGGTCCCTTGAGCAGCTCTTCCAGATTTCACTGAGAATCAGTAGCGAGTGATCTGTGTCTGAAACAGAGCAGTTCTGAAAACAAAGTTGCTTGTGAAATGTTAAGGAAGGAGAAGGTGACAAACGAGAAGGGTGATGGGAGAGTGCTTGCTGGGTGACTCTGCCGCCTGCTAAAATACGACAACCTGGACTTCAGGTGGGCCAGGTGGGTGCTAGAGAGCCTCTTGCCTCCCATGGGTGAGAGCAGGACGGCAAAGGGAGGGGTGCCTCTCATTCCCTCCATCGTTTAGAATCCTGGGCTCCTCAGCACTTGTCCCTGGCAGCACACACATATGACGAATAGGTGGGAAGGCTGGCTTGGCAGTACATTCACGGTCATAAATAAAAGAAGTTGTACAGATGTACAGTATTGGTGTTACAAAATCTGTAAAGCCGGTTATCAGCAATTCAGAGGCCCAAGTAAGAGGCAGACGGAGCCTTCCTATTTGATATTTGAGCAGCCCCTATTTTTAGCATGGGAATTCAACCAGGCGAACCAGCAGATAGGATTGTGGGCTTGCGCTCTAGGAGATAGCCGTGTCTGATTCCAGGATCCGCTGGCTGACTTGCTAGTTTGTGTGGTGAGTTTTCTTAGCGCCTAGAGTTACTTGTTAGACGTGGCTGACTTTCTTATTCCAGGATTAGAAGGTTTACTCACTCACAGTGGATGTCTGGGGCAGGGGGGATCTTGCTTTCTTATGTTACCGAAGACATTGTTGTGTTTCTATCGGGAACTGATTTGCTCTCTGTTCAAACAAAAAAAGTGCCGCATTTTCTTAAGAGATTTTCCTTTCACATCATTTATAAATTAATTGGTTGCTCAAGAGAGAATTGATCATTTTTACGGTTTCCTAACATTTAAACTAAAATTTGTGATCTTTCACAAAATTAATAAAAATAAAATGTTTTTTTCATGATAACATGTTGTACATGTTTTGTATTACTTATGAAAGTCAAACAAAAATAGTCATTTAAAAGAGTTAATATTTGCTCAATGTAGAAGATTTGGAAGATACTAAGAGGTAGAAAGAAGATAATCATAAGTAGTCCAACCCCTCAAAAAACAGTTAATAATTTTGGAGTATTTTTTGGGTAGTTTTCAGAGTTAACTATTTTTGAATAATTGGAAGTAATTAACAGATAATGCAGTCTACCACTTTATGCAGTTTTAATTTCTAAATTCTAATTAGAATTAATTAGAATTTCTAATTAATGTAATTTCTAAATTCTAATTCTAATTCAGTTTTAATTTCTATTTTCATAAGCTAAAGTTTTTTTTAGAGCATTTGGAAACCTTGAAAACGTTTAAATTGCAAATTATTAAGTTATAGGTTGAATGTGAATATTTTTGGTAGTTAAAATAACAAGAGACCCAAGATTCATTCTGCTGAGAAATTCATTGGGTCGACTGGAGGTTTTCTGCAGCAACAGTGGGCACAGCACCCTTGACTCAGTTAAACCCCAGGTCAGCAACCACTCAGCTTCTCTCAGATGCAAACACACAGCGACAGTGTCCCTTCCTCTCCCTTGGCTTCCATCAGAGGAAGGCCGCAAGGAGCAGTGAAGCTGTTAGGAGACACGGAGTTAGAAACTGGTCAGCAGCAAGACTACGAGAGATGCAGCGCCTGCCCCCAGCAGAGGGTCGGGCCCTGTTTCTAGAGGCTGTTGTATCCCAGTGAGATCCCTCACAGGGTCCTGCAGGAGGGGGCTCTCGGCCTGGCAGAGCCCACGTGGAACCGTAGAACCCAGGTGTTTGAGCGGAAGCGTCGTTTCTGCACGCGCACTCTCCACGGCAAGCTTGTAGCACAGCCGGGAAGGCAGCTCCGTGAAATGCTTCCAGAAGCTCTGTTATCCCACTGGAGCGCTACGTGCTCTTGTCCGCACCCCAGCTCTTCAACTCTATAGCACAGTGGTTCTCAACCTTCCTAATGCCGCGACCCTTTCATACAGCTCCTCATGTTGTGGTGACCTCCAATTTCATTGTTACAAATTGAACATAATTAAAGCATAGTGATTAATCACAAAAACAATATGTAATTATATATGTGTTTTCCGATGGTCTTAGGCGACCCCTGTGAAAGGGTCGTTCGACCCCCAAAGGGGTCGCGACCCACAGGTTGAGAACCGCTGCTGTCACACGTCTTTGCCCGTTTTCCTCTCTGAGGCCCAGCCTAACCTCCGGTTTCATCCTTCCCAGCTTAAGTGAGAGCTTTTTCATGGTGAAAGGAGCAGCCCTCTTCTTGCAACAGGGAAGCAGCCCTCAAGGCCAGCGAAGCCTGCAGCATCCCCACAAGCACGCGGGTGAGTCGATGCTCTTACACGGGAACGCGTTTTCTCTGCCGCGGGAGGGACCCCCCGTTCCTGGTGGTGAGCCACGCGTCGGTTTTCAAGGCCAGAGAAATAGTGGGACCAGGGCTGTGACGACTGGTACAGGGAGAAGCCCTTCTGCACAGGCAGGCCAGGCGTGGTTTCCAGGCGGCGCCGGGAGCAAGCAGCCCTTCTGAGCCTGGTGTCTACCTGACGAGTGAGGGGTCGGCAGCACTGGGTTTGGGTGTCAGGATGCCCTACTTACAGTTTATCAGGTAGCTGCATATTTTCAGTTGAAGTAGAGCTTTCTAAACAAACGCCCCAGAATACGCTATAGTCAGGGGTTGTGCCCTTGAAACAGCCACCTTGGGGTGCTCTATACGTAGTCTGAGGATGCTGTCACTTCCCTGAGCATTTGGAAAACTCTCATTTGGAGAATTTCTTTCTCTCTGCGCCCCGCTCCCCCCCGCCCCCACCACCACACATACACACATTCTCTATAATACCGAAAGAAAAAAAAAATCTGTTTTTATAAAAGACAGTGGAATGAAAAAATAGTAATTATTAAACTTTGCCAAGACAAAGTTCAGTGACACATCTGGCATGAGCACCTGACAGCCTGCCTAGCCTTATTAAGCAACATGTGTCCAGACTGTGTATCCTTCCCCCCTTTCTTGCACCCCATAGCTGGGAAAAGAGGATACCCAGGGGTAGAACGAGTGAGATCTTCATCTGTTTAGCCAGGGGCCACGGGAACCCCAGCCCAACAGAGAGAGAGATTCTTAACTGGTCTTCAAGTAGCCACGACGCTGGTTGTCTCTAGGTGTTGATAACGTTTTTTTAATGCTAGTTTCCAAACTTTCTGTAACAGGATGTATTACTTTCACACGGCAAAGAGAGCTCCAGCCAGCCTCGTTAGGGGAATGTCTTTACGAGCCCTTGGCACGCACTGAGATGGAAAGTCTTTATCTTTTAATGGTCGATTTGGTTTGAGGAAATAGGGAAGTGGTAGTGTAGGGATCAAACTGAGTATTAATTTAGGTTCAAACGCAACCCAATAAGGAATGCCTATAAAGTAAATACACTGGTATTCTCTGGTGATTGACTCTGAAACCAAAGGCAGTTTGAAAAGAAGACTCACGAAAACTTACTTGTGGGTAGCGCTCCCGGGACTTCTGGGATGGGCAGCACACGTTGAATGTCAGCTGGAAGGACTCTGACCCTGAACAGCAGGTGAAAGCAGCTAGCCATTGGGGCCAGCTTTCTCATCGCTGTGATCATTTTGTTTGTCTAACCTCAAGTCACCCAGCTTCATTTTGGATCTGAGTGCTGGGGTTAGAATTTTCTATCTTACAATTGATAACAAACACCAAGGCTCAATCAGTATTTTCACATAATGATATTTGTCATCAAGATTTAAGTCTATCTTAAGACAGGACAACAATTGTTCTCCACAAGGAGGCAGTATGGTGTGGGGAAAAGACCTGGCTTCTGATCCCAGTTCTGGAACTGACTGTGTAGTCATGGTCAACCTCTGAGCCTCAGTTTCCTGATCTTTAAAATGGGCATCACATACCAGTACCTTGGAGGTTATGGAATTTAAAATTGACGCAGGTAACATATTTACCTCCTCGTAGGTGCTCAGTGTACGGTCGCTATAATGATGACTTGCGGTGACTTCTGGTACAATAAAGCTATAAACAGAACCTTTATTTTTGAATTTGCTATCGGTTTTGCTCTGATAGGAACTGAACCATTGTTAATGTCTTAACAGTAATACGTATAGCCAAGCAAATGCTCAAGCTTTGCTCGCTCTGTATAAAACGTGTCCTTCCTCTGAATCAAACGGCATTTTCCTACTGGGTGAACTTGATTTGTTGGTCCCATAGGTGACTTGCCCCAACATCTGCAAGTGATGATCAATCTTCTGCGTTGCGAAGATAGAATCAAGCTGGTAAGAAGAGACGAGAGTGGCAAGTTTTAATTTTTAATTGTGAAATTTGGTAGGGAATTACTGATGAGCAGCGGGTGGGGTGGTGGGGGGAGGGGGTCTGTGAGTTTTTAAATTTTAGCAAATTCTCCCCAATTGTTCACAAAAGCCAACGCGGAGTTTGCTTCTCGGTGCCCAGAGGGTCCAGAGAAAGGATGTAGGGGGTCTCTGTCCGTCTATGAGTCTGTGCTGAGTCGGCATCTTCAGTGTCTGGAT